TTCTGATGTTTAATTAGCACCTTAGCATTTTTAGTCTTGCTTTAAAAAGAATAGGTGGCACCTTTTCATCCTAGGAAAGAAAAAGCAATTAACCCTTGCTGCTGAGTTAGCATATGGTAACTAGATCTTGCCAAATCTCAGAGTATTTGGAGTGATATTTTCTCTTCTTTCCAAAAAAAAGAGAATGAGTGGCAGTTGCTTTAAATAATGGCATCCTGGAAAGCTGCCTCAGCACAATGGCAGCCCTCAAAGCTAGAGGGCACACAGTGGAAACCCTCAGAGGTGGGTCAGATTTCACAAGTTTGAATTGTGTAGCTTACTAGTCAATTTTTGGAGGAAGTAGGTAAAGAGATGCAGGTTAGCACACGTTGAGTTGGGGTATGATGAGTGGAGAAGGGCTCCCCCATTTTTACATTGTGTATGTATTCAGAGCCTCTCTCTCTCTGACATATCTGCTTTCCTGATGATGTTGGGGTGACAAGGACTAGATCTCAGCTTAGGGAAGGGGGTTCAGTAAAAGGGAGGTCCCTGGAGCCAGCATTGTTGTGTCAGGTATCTCTGGCCACAGCTGTGGTTCACCAGGTAATGTGATAGGCACTGAATGGTTCTGACAGTGTTGCCTGGGAAGAGAACATGTGGGGTCTATAGGAGTTCAATGAAGGCCACCAATGGGTGTCAGATTCAGGGACTACACAGTTGTCATTCTGAGGATGACTTGATTTACACATGGTGACCTGGTCCTCCCACCCAACTCTACCTGTAAGTCACACTTTTATCTAATCCCCCTTTGTTGTGTTCAGCAGCCTTACATTCTGCATGTTTGATCTGTGCTTAACACATTTCACAGGTCTCTAACTTAGAATCTATATTTAACACTTCTTTGGAGCTTTCCACATCTCACTTGTTTTTCTTGTTCTTGCTGGCAGAATTAAACATTCTCCAGTTACCCAGCAGCATCCTTCACAGTGGCTAAACACGGAAGTATGATATTCACGATCAGGTCTCATTAGTTGGTTTCCATTGGTCACTCTTTTAACTCCAGAGGGGAAAACACAGACTGTGAAGTAGCTGACATGTCAGTATTTTCAGTAATAGGAAACTTTACACTTTATGTTAATTTGAAAAATCAGCAAAAGAGAAAAATTGTAGAATGTGAATATTTTTTTATGGAAAATGTGCTCGTACCCTCTTTTTCTGTGTGGCCAAGAGCAGGAAAATGTGATTAACAGGCATGAAATTGAGGCAGGGAAAGGACTTGGTGATGATGGAATTTAGCTCTCTTACTTTTTGATGCTGTGTGTGGGATTCAGAAAAGGAAAGTGTCTCATCCAAGGTTATACAGCCAGTTACCTGTCAAACTCTCCTTGAAACCCGGTCCACTGTTCTTCCATTGTAAGAAGTGAATTTTCTTGTGTTCTTCACTGGTTGAAAATAGGTAATTAGTTACTTGAAAGGTCTTTTTGAAAATGAGAATGCACACAGAGTCTCCATGTATCAAAACAGGTGGTTCTTACATTTTCCTTTGGTGGGAGTTAATGAAGTCTCATTACTTCAGTGTGCCAATCCTTTATAAAGAGAAATGAGTCAAACCAGCATAAGGAATGTCCAGCTGTCAAGCAGGACTGAATGAGCAGAAATATAAAAGAGGGGAAGTCAGCACCAAATGTCGTTTTCTATAGTCAGCCACTGGCATTCAGCCATTCATCTCTTGGTCTTCCAAAAGGTTCCATACTGCTTCCTGACTGCAATATACATACTTATTCAAAGTAATAATGTAAATGAGGAAAAGAGTGGAGGATACATTCATTGACCAGTCAGTCTTTGTGAGTTGCCTGCTTCATGCCAGGCCAGGCACTAGGAAGGGTTGATGAAACAATGAATATATGAGTGGATCTGCCCTCTTGGAGCTTAGTGTTAGTGGGAAAAGGAAAGAAATGACAGGAAGCAAGAAGCATGAAACAAGACTGCGATATTTAAGAGAATAACAACCCGATCCGAATTCACAGATTATGATAAATTATGTGGAGAAAATAACCAGAGTGGTATGTTAGTGGGACATTTGTGGAGGTCTTGCTTTGGAGAGAGTGACTGGGAGTTTGTATCTGCAGTGAGAGCCCACAGAGGATGAACCAGGCACGTGAGAAGGTGGCAGAAGTGTGCTTGGAAAAGGGGGAAAAGTCTAGAGCAGGAGTGGTCTTGGTGGCTCCTCTAGTGCCCCAAGAGAAGAGTGTGAGATGGAAGGAGAGATGCAGGTATAATCCCTGGTGTGTGTGTGTGTGTGTGTGTGTGTGTGTGTCTATGTGTGTGTGTGTGTGTGTGTGTGTGTGTGATTTTGCAGGTAATGGAAATGGAGCTGAGTTTTATCCTATGACCAGTGAAAAGCCATTGGAGAATTTTATGCAGTAACTAAAATGATTTGGACATATATTTTAAAAAGAGCATTTTGGCTGTTGTGTGGAAAACAAGGAAAAGAAAAGTTCTTATGGGAAACACAGAGACGAGACGAGTTAGGAAACTGAAGTGTCAGGGGAGCAATCTTAATGTCTTGGGTGAGAGTTATCAGAGAGAGGTAGGGAAGTAGTTAACAGACTTCAGGCCTGGGAGCCCTCACGACTTGCTCTTGGATCAGAACACAAGGCGCAGAGCTCGGAAGAATCAAGTGGATTCTCTAGTTTCATTGGCTCAAAGAACTTGGTGTCACCATTTACAAAGACTGGGAATTCTAGGAGAAGACAGAAGGTTGTGGGAGAGAACTAGAGCTCTGTTGTGGGCAAATGCAATTTGAAATGTTCATTAATCTCTTGCAGATAGGTGGTGGCAAGAGATTGGATCTATGACTCTGTTGCTTAAGGGAGAACTTAACATTTCACTTGTAAATATGGGGGTCATAGGTCATGACACTGGAAGATCAATTCCTAGGAATACTGAGGTGATGGTACTCACTCTGGGAATGATGTTTATAGCTTCTCTCCAGCAGGCTTTGCTGAGTGATCATGCCCTCTTTTGGATCCAAGTAGCACAATCCTGTAATGAGGTCTCTAGGTCCTACCACCAATCAGTAGAGTCCTATTTGATGAGTGAGGAAGTAAGCAGATAAGAGAGCTCCACCTCCTTCGAGTCTAACTGTTCTGCCACTAAATTCTGGGCAGCCTTTACTACAGTTATACCTAGCAGTAATGATAATAAAAATAATGTTTAAAAATTTGCTAATATTCTCTAGGTTGCAAAATAGTTTGTTTATGTATTTAATAAATTTTGCATATTATCCTGGGATGTCTTCATCTGGGATTTCATGCAAGGAATAAAAATATTCTTAGGCTGAGGATATAGCTCAGTGGCACAGCGTCTGCCTGGGAAGCATAAGGTCCTGAGTTTGATTCCCAGGACAAAAAGAAAAAAACATATTCTTTAAGTGACTGTCGTTTGTTTGAGCCCTTGAAGAAGACTAACACAGTTTGCCACTTACCAGTAGGGAAGGCATTTCTTCAGGAAAAAAAGCAAAGTGCTAGGTGGGTATACAAGTGGTGTAGATCAGCATTCTGGGAGACTGGGGAAGAGGATTGCAAATCCAAGCTCAGCCTGGACACGTTAGAGCGACCTTGTCTCAAAATAAAAATAATAAAAAAAAAAATGCTAGCAAGGCGGCTCACTGGGCTTCAGACCCCAGTACCCCAAACAGATTGCAGGTGGGGTGCTCTTCATGAATTGGCTGCTCACGTGGTAGCAGCCTCCTTGTTTTTTCCATTCACAGCCTAGACTTTTATAGCTGGGAAAAGACTGCTGTTCCCTTTTGTGTTATTTACATGAAGTGGCAGTTCATAGTATTACAAGGTAGGCTGGGAGGGCTTGCAGAGAGGCCTGGTCCTTCACCTCTATTTGCAGATAAGAAGACAGGGGCTCAAGGTCAAGAATTCAAGGACTTCTCCTTTAGAAGCCACTGAGATTCTTCAGGGTTCTTCAAGTTCGAGATGTTCCTTGAGCAGTACAGACTTTGAAGTTTTGTGTTTTTCAAAGGCTCCTCATGCAGGGCTGGAGAGATAACCAAGAAGTTGTCATACAGTCCAAAGAGATGGTCAGGGTGGAGAGGAGACTGCCTGGTCCTCCTGTGACCTTCCTCTGTCACCCTCTGAGTAGTCTTCTTTAGCTTCATGCCCTCTGTGTTCCTTTCTGATCCCAGGAGATGCCGTGTGCAGTAATGATATAATACCTGTTTAAGGTAGTGAGGCTGAGGCTGAGAGGGAAATGGTAGATGCCTCTCATTCTGTTGGTGTTGGAGGAGGAGATTTCATCCAGGAGCAAGATTAGCTGGACTAACACACCTCTAGGCTTGCTAAGTTGGTCTCCATTGTTATAAATATTTCATGAGGAGAGTCATCCATGGCACCTTTACAGAGAAATTCCACGTGTGCTTTCGGAGCATGAGCAAATCTTGTGTTTATTGTCCAAGAAATGGCAGAGCTTTCTGGTGTTACTGGTGCTCGTAAATCTCAGCTAGGTACCGGACATGGACATGTTTCCTAGGAGCACTGTGGGGAGAGGGAAACACAACCCAGGAGAAGAGTGAGCGTGGGTGGCACTCGGTGGCATTTGGGCTCTGCTGGATCCCAGAGCCTCTGAACTTTGAACCCCATTTATCTGACCAACATTTGCCCTCCAGCACCCTGCTCTGCTTGCATCAGGCTGACTGGCTCAGTGTTCTGTCAACATTCATGTCAGAAAATCACAGTCCGGCCCATTGTAAACTGGGCACGGTGACAGGGATAGCATTTCCAGGGTATGCATCGAATGACTGTGGGTGAATGGTACCCGAAATTGAAAACTGTTGACGGGAGGGGAAATGGAAAATGTGACCTGGATCCATGAACATGGTGTTTTAAACTGTGGACCTTTGCTCTCTTCTCACATTCCCTTTTCTCTTTCTGTAATCCTTCCCTCCTCTCCCTTCTCCCCTCCTGTCCTCTCCTCTCTTCTCTCCCCTCCTCCTCCTTCTCATTTCCTAGATACAGGAAGAGAGATCCATGCAGCTCCTCATGTGAGTGAGAAATTAATTCAGTTGTTCCAGAATAAGAGTGAATTCACCTTTTTGGCCACCGTGCAGCAGAAGTCATTGACTTCAGGTGTGATACTGTCCATTGGAGACCTGGAGCACAGGTAGGAAAGCTTCTCCTGCTCTTGAAAACCTGCTTGGAGCTAGTTGACTCTGCAAGGTGCTTTGGAGGTGAGAGGTAGGAGCTCTAGGGAAGGTCTGACTAGGGGAACCTTGGTTGCTGTTGACCGCATTACTGGATTTACTTCGCCAACGACTGGATAAAGGAAGTGTGGTGTTGGCACACAATGGGTGCTATTCTGACAAAGAAGGACGAGCTTGAGTCGTAGTAGGAAAATGGAAGCACCTGGAGAGCACAGTGCTAAGTGAATTAAATCAGACACAGGAGCTTAACTGTCACAGGGTTTCTCTTATATGGGCAATCCAAGTTATCAATAGAGCAAAATAAAATGCGGATAGTAAGAAGTAGAGCTATCTTTCTCACATGGGAAAAGGATTAAGAGTTGCAGGGAGGGTGAGGGAAGGGAAACAAAGGGGGTGAATACAGGACTGAAGATATGTACCTGCGCCAGCTCCTTAGGAGGATTGTAAACACTGTGTCCTCCAAACATGTACTCATAACAAATACATAGAAATAAAGTCTAAAAATTAAAAAAAAAGAAAACCACAGAGCTGACTTTGGGTAAAGTGACTTTCTCCTTTGCCATCCAAGACCCACCCCTGAGAGCCTTTCTCACCTACTCTGTGGTCGACTGTTCATAGAAAACCACATCCTGTCTGAGGATGCCACGTGTAAGGCATCAAGCAAGTTAATTGCGTGCATTTAACAACTTTTAAGGATTTGTCCTATGTGTAATTGGGATCTGTGCTTGGTCCTGGGAATATTCAGGTGGATAATTATGAATGTTGATGCCCAGGATTGCATAAGCTGTTAAGGAATGTGGACAAATAAATAGCACAAAGCACTGCAGAAACAGGGTTGCATGCTTGTGTGCAGGGAGTGAAGGTAAACCTTAAACCCACGGTAAAGGTAAGTAAAGTTAAGTGGTCTGTCTTGGGACTTCAGCAGCCAAGAAAGGCTTCATGCAGGAGCATGGTTGGAAAAAACCATGTTGGTGGTAAGAGACTGCAGCCTACAAAGGTTTGTGGGAAATAGAATGAGATTTGGGGTAGACTTTGAGGAGAAAACAAAACAAAACAAACCAAAACAAAAACCAAAAACACAATGAACATTAGCATTTTTCAAGATCTTTAAAATTGCGTAAAAAATCCCTAGTCAGTGCTCAGTCCACAGACGCATGGTAACATACGATGCTTATGAGAAGGCACGTAGTATTACTATTTCTACTTTAAAGAGAGGAAACTGAAATATAGATTGTCGGTTGCTTTGCCAGGGATCATCTTTTTTAAATAAGCTTTTTAAAAATTAAGGTTATCAGTATAATTTATATGTGCATAATGATCATATTCATCAGAGGAACTTTGTACTTGCACATGATATGTTTCAGGAGTCTGCTACTAAGATGATGGATGTATGAGTGACACCCAGGTGTCTGGCTCCATGGCATGCTTTCTTAGTCTATTGCTTTGACTTCTTTGACCCAGTGTTTCTCCTGCTCACTTTTTAATTATCCCATTCTTTGGTGGGCACTGTTTGGTATCCCTTAGTTGAAATAGGGTGCTGACAGTTGAGGTGAAATGTTCCATGTACGGTATTGATTCAAGGCCACTGTGGGCTTTCTGGTTTGAAAGAAGCAGCCTTGTCGTGTCTTGGAGCCCTGGTCACAGTGAAATAGGTGGCTTTGTCCAAGAACTGGCCATACAAAGCCTGGCTGTCTGATGAAAGTGTTTCCTTGGTGATTTGTGCCTGTGCTGTGCCTTCCCAAGGTCAGTGGTGAAACATTTGCAGACAAGGGTTGTTTAAGTGCTGAGCAGGAATCTGGGCCCAGTCAGGCTTTGTGGTGCCCTGAGGATCACACAGGGACCATCTCTGCTTCTCAAAGTTGAGAGGCAGCAAGAGAGGCCATCTCTGCTTGAGAATTCCTAGATGAGATTTTTAAGCTTGTCTGCAAGTTTTAGAGAAGGATGAGACAGATCACTCTGGAGTGTGTCTGATCAATGAAAAACAACTTTCTAATTTTGTTGATGTTAATTTTTTCTTGAGGACCCGGTGTGAATCCTGGAAATGGTTGGCTTGGTTGGTTAAAATTCAGATACCTTACAAAAGCTGCAAGAAGTTGTGGGGAACTTTTTAACTTCTTTTTGCAAAGGTTCTAGAATATGGTAAATACCGCAGCTCTTGGGGTTCAAAATAATTCCACCCTTCATCCTTCAGACTGCCTCAGGGGCCTCTGAGAGGTATTTACCAGGCTGTAGGGGTCTAAGGGATCACAGGGTTCTCACTCACCAGATCCCTTGTGCTCTTTCAGACAAACTATTTGGGGAGCTCTGCAGTGGGTATTGTCAGCGCATGAGGTGAGGTTTTCAATGCAGACTGCAGATGCACTGGACTTTGGATCCTGTGTCAGTTTTGAGGCCTATTTTGATGACCTGGGATTTCTGGCTACAGGAATTTTGAGCAACTATCTTTCAGTGTTGAATCTTGGTTTTGGAAGACTAGAACAACTGCTTATTCTTGAATTTGAAGACCAGCTCTTTCTGAGTGAAGTCTGATGTAAGGTAGCTGCGGATACATACAGAATTTCTGAGACTCAGCCTTTTCTCAGAAAGACAGGTGAGGTATAAAATGACATAATATTCAAACACTGTAATTAAAATTTTAAAGAGGGTAGTAATAATGTCCATTCCAAGGGGCTCAGTCTGGATTTTGTAGAGATTTGTGTTTTGCTTAATCTGAATATCCGGTTTGCTTTGTAGTTCCTTTGTATGATAGAACCATTTCTTAGCAGAGGAGAATGAGGCCCCAATAAGTGTTTGTTTAATGTCCTCTAAGACATGAGCTGAGGCCTCTTACTAGCTCCCGCGAGGTACTCAGTGTCTTTCCTGTTCTTCACTTTTCTTCTTGGAGGCTTCTACCAAGGATATTAAGATGGTTAATCAGGCCTCTGCTTTTATCCAGGGCCACACAAGCTGGGAAAGATGGGAACCAACGATGTGGCAGAGGAGGCTCACCTGGGGGTCAGCGAGCAGAGTACTAGGTTGGAAGCCAGGAGGAAAGATGTCAGGAGAACAAAAGTTTAAGAAAGAAGTTCACATTTGAGTCTGGATCCCTGGACATCAGGTCACAGAGAACATAATTGAATACTGTAATTCGTTGGGGAAATTGTTAAGACCACAATTTTCAAATTTTTTTTTAAAATCCCTCAAATGCGAGTCTTTGAGGATCTGACCTGTGACTGTCTGTTTTAAGTAGAGATCAAGGTGATTCTAATGCTGTGAACAAGTAGGTGGGAATACTTGCCAGCCAGCTGTGCCAGGAGATAGAGCAGGAAGACAGGCTTGTGCGCCTGCGGGTTCCCCAAGCATCTGTCCATGCCTGCCCACGAGGGAACCCCAGCGAAGCTGTGTGGATTAGGATACAGGATTAAGTGCTGAGATAAAGACTACAAGATCAGTGGTTTAAACTAAGCGAAGTGTAACTGTCTCATGCTGCAGTTTGAATACATGCTGCCCAGAGTATATGTGACAACTCTTTCTGTCAGGGCCTTGCAGTTTCTAGGGTCTGCCGTGCCCCTGGTGGTGTTCACTTCCACATCAGTGCTAAGCCAGCACGCAGGGCAGCCAGACGTGGAAAGTGTGACCCTGCCCGTGTGACTTCCACCTGTCTCCTCTTTGCCAGAATGGGTTGCGTGGAGCCCCTGAGCTTCAGGGAGAATGGGGGAGGTGGTCTTTCTCCTGGGTAGCCCTGAGCTTCACTAAGAACCTGTGACTAACAGAAGGAGGGGTAAGTATGCTTCAGAGGCCAGGGGACATTCTCTACTTGTAGCACTGTTTCCCCTCTCCACAGAGAGGGCTTGGACTCTGCTCTGTGCATGTTGTGTGAATCCCTGGAGAATTCATTTTTCCTGCCCCATTCTGGATGAGGAGCTAGGTGGAAGATTGGTATCACCCCTAGGAAAATTACTCAGAGGCAGAAGCTGGAAGCTGATTTCCCCTCCAAGCAAAGAGGAGCTTTGGTTAGAAGCCACCTACCTGTTTGACAACTTAAATGGCTTATGCTTGTGATAATGACCTTTTTATAGAGGGGACCATAGAGATAGCAGATATATGCGTCTCGGTTGAGGGGGTGAAAATGAGCATTTGCTTAGGGCATGCCTTTGTGTATTGAATACTTTTTTTACTGACACATTAATTGTACACATTAGTGGGCCTCCATGTGGTGTTTCCATATGTGTGTAGACAGTGTGCACTGATTAAATACAGCTGTCTTTGGCCATCACCAAGCACCCTACCCAATCCCTAGGAATGTATGATCCTCCTGCCTCAGTGTCCCAAGTATCTGTGGCTACAGGCACAGGCTGTTGCTCCTGGATTGTTAAAAGCTTTTCGTTTAGGATAGCACATTATTAACCCTGAAGATCTGGACTTTAAACTTGGCCTTTTTACTTGGTACGTTGTTTAGTGATAATGAGCCTGAGAGGCTTACACTGGATTTGCCAACAAACAACACACACAGAAAGAAGGAGGCATGGCTTGGATTGCCTGAGTCTCCTTGTATATAGGATGGGGATTGGATGGTGTCTGTCAGGAAGTCAACATTATTTGCTGGGGATTGAGCTCAGCAGCATAAGCACCTTCCTGGCAACACAAGGTCCTGAGTTTGATCCCCAGTGCACAAAACAGTTGATATGGTTGTACAATTTTGATTTTGCAGATGCCATTGTATTGTCCTGTGATCTCAGAAGCCTGAGTGACCAATGCCAGGACACAATTACGTTTTAATGCTTGGTAAAGAGGTAATGGGACATCTCGACAAGTGCACACTGTCAGTGTGCACTATTTTCTTTTAAATGAAGTATCAGAGGGTGAGGGCACCCTCTGCAGCCTGGAGGACTCCTAGCTTATTTCAGGGAACTATTTCCTCATTGACAGTCTTAGCTAAGGAAGCGCTCTCTCTATTTGCTTCTTGCATAATGGACTGCAG